GCGGCAATTCCCAGTTCACGTTTGCAGCGCCGCTCGGAGCAGCCGCTGATCACGCTTTGTTCACATGCCTCGCCCCCTCCTCCCTCACGCCCCCGCCCTTCGCGGGCCAGCCAATCCGGGCGCGGCCTACCGGTCCGACTGGCCAATGGTAGGGGCGCGGGGACGTGCGAGTGGCGAGGAATGTTCCCAGTGACTCACCCGCGAGCCTCTTTGAGGTTAGGGCGGCCCCATCCGTCTGTCCCCGCCAACGAGGATCTCCCCCGCCGGCCACCCCCGCCCCTCGTCTGCCTCCCCTGCCTGCGCCTCTGCTTCCCTTTCCTGCCTCGCCCCCCACTCCCTTTCCTCCCCTCCCTGTTTCGCTTCCTGCCTTCACAGCTCTCAAGCCCCTGCTGCCTGCCTTTCTCTTCTTCTCCCTTTATTTGCCTGGGCGTCTCGAGGAGGATTTTACACATACATGCGCTGTCCGTTGCCTCTTACATAAAGACTTGCGCGATTATGCAATTGCATTGTTAGTGATTTTTCGAGAGCAGTGGCTCGTTTTTCTTAGAATTCTTCACAAAAGCTTTATACATTATTTTAAGCAAGCATCTTTCAAAGTAAGGAATTTTTTTATCGACATATCCTATAAAATCTGCACTGATAAAAAGAATCTGAACCGTTTAAGTGGAAAATGGGAGAAGAGATTGATAGTGCCGCTTCAAGAATTTGGTGCAAAGCATTTGATGGAGGAGCTGTATGCTAGTTCTTTTTAATCAAATCTCTAAAAAGTTCAAAGATTCCTAACAACTCCTCCCAACTACGATGTCTAAAAAACACCAAACAAACAAGAAAATCAGTGTTGACAAAAATGTGAAGAAATTAGAACCTTAATTTCCCACTGTCGGTGGGATTGTAAAGTGGTGCTGCTGCTATGAAAAACGTCTGGCATACCTCAAACATTATATATAAAATTACTATATGGGCCAGAGATTCTACTCTTAAGGATATACCCAAAGACCAGAAAGCAAGTACTTAAGTACTTATCTGTGCCCACTGCAGCATTATTCATAATTGTCAAAGGTAGAAACATGTCTATCAAGAGATGAACCAATAAAAATGTGGCATATATACAAAAAAAGTGAAAAGATTCCATTTAGAATATTTGAAATTCCTTTTATCCAAGATCTTTGAGAATTACTTATTATGTACTTTTTTAGCATTGCTTTTAACTGGTCATGGTTATGCACAGCACACCATAATATTAAATAGAGCCAGTGGAAGGAACAAAATGGGGAAGTTGAAAGGGTAGATTTCAAAATAATCTAATACAACTTTCCTTTAATCCTGAAGAAAATGTATCCTATTGATTTTGATCCCAAAATACAAATAACTTTTCAAAGGCCAGACCATGTCTATAGGCCTAAAGCTGCCTTTTTTACATAAGAAAATATAGGATTTTTTGTTGTTATTGTATTGCATACACGAAAGATCTCATACCATGTACCCTTTGAAAAAGGATCTTTTTTTCAGGGCTCTTCCTAGTTTGAGGTTGGCTCTTCTTTAATCTGATTCTAGCTACAGATAGAAGGAATATTGAAATCCCTTTTACCTTCTAAACCAAGTGTTTCTCTCTTGCTTTAAAATTACAAGTTCCATGAATTGATAAATTCAGTTCTTGGTCTTTTCCTGGTAACAAGGTACTTCCTACCTTGCCAGGATGTCAGTGAGTTCAAGCATAAAAATGAAAAGTTCATTACCACTGCCACCTGGAAGTGTGTAGTTAAACCTTTGTCACTTTTAAACTATCAAAAGAGGGGTGTGAGAAGAAATGTATCCTTTAAATACCAATTTCAGGAGTTGAACAAATTATGAAAAAAAAAAATGTTTCCTTGTTCTTTTGAGTGTCAGTTGGATGAGGAAAAGTATTTAAAACCTTTACTATTTGTTCTTACAGGAGGAAAGGATGGAAATGATTTCTGAAAGATCAAAAGAAAATATGTATTCCTGGAACAAAACTGCAGAGAAGAGTGATTTTGAAGCTGTGGAAGCACTTATCTCAATGAGCTGCAGCTGGAAGTCTGACTTTAAGAAGTACATTGAAAATAGACCTGTCACCCCCGTGTCTGATACGTCAGAAGAAGAAAATCTACTTCCAGGCACACCTGATTTTCATACAATCCCAGCTTTTGTAAGTATTATTGTTTCAAGATGAATGTAAAATATAGACTTATATTCATTTGCATAATGAAGGCTTTTCTGAAGTTCTTAAGCTGATGTTGGTTTGTTTCTCTTCTCTTTAGTGTTTGACTCCACCTTATAGTCCTTCTGACTTTGAACCCTCCCAGATGTCGATGCTGATGGCATCATCGCCATCTACTGGGCATTTCAAGTCATTCACTGATTCTTCCAAGCCTCACATGGCTGCACCTTTCAAGGAGGAAGAGAAGAGTCCATTACCTGCTCCTAAACTCCCCAAGGCTCAGGCAACAAGCGTGATTCGTCATACAGCCGATGCCCATCTGTGTAACCACCGGTCCTGCCCTGTGAAAGCAACCAGCATTCTCAACTCTCAGGACACTTCTTTTCGAAGAAGAACCCACCTAAATGTTGAGGCTGTTAGAAAGAACGTACCATGTGCAGCGGTGTCCCCAAACAGGTCCACATGTGAGCGAAACACAGTGGCAGATACTGATGAGAAAGCACGTGCTGCACTTTATGACTTTTCTGTGCCTTCCTCAGAGACAGTTATCTGCAGGCCCCAGCCAGCTCCCGTGTCCCCACAGCAGAAGTCGGTGCTGGTTTCGCCACCTGCAGTCTCCACAGGGGGAGTGCCACCTATGCCAGTTCTCTGCCAGATGGTTCCCCTCCCTGCAAATAACCCTGTGGTGACAACAGTCGTTCCCAACACTCCACCCAGTCAGCCACCTGCTGTCTGTCCACCTGTCGTGCTCATGGGCACCCATGTGGCCAAAGGTGCCGTCATGTTTGTCGTTCCCCAGCCTGTTGTACAGAACCCAAAGCCTTCCTCAGTGGTGAGCCCAAATGGCACCAGACTTTCTCCCATCGCCCCTGCTCCAGGCTTTTCCCCTTCCACAGCGAAAGTCACCCCTCCGATTGACTCGTTGAGGATAAGAAGTCATATCTGTAGCCATCCAGGATGTGGGAAGACCTACTTTAAAAGTTCTCATTTGAAGGCCCACATGAGAACTCATACAGGTATGTTTCAGTTCATGTCTTAGGAACCTAAAGATTTTTAGGCTTATGAAAGCTAGTATAAAAGAATTTGCATTTTGAGCCAGTTAAGTGGATGATATTTGCCACTGCAGGGTCTTATAATCTCCCAAATAGTAATTATAAAGTACCTTTGAAACCTTTAACCATAATTGAAGTCAGAAAATGTTTTGCTTTTTTTTTTCAAGAGAAGATTTTTTAGTATAACAAGGTGAAAGTTGAGAAAATTGAGCAATGCATATCTACTGAAGACTTACTCAATAGTTTATTAATTTACTTTTATTCTTTTTAAAGCATCTTTTTTAAAATGCCTGTAGTTGTAACTAACCACTTTACTGCAGATTCATAAACACGTGTTAACAATCACACACTCTTTGTTTCAGGAGAAAAACCTTTCAGCTGCAGCTGGAAAGGTTGTGAACGGAGGTTTGCCCGTTCCGATGAACTGTCCAGACACAGACGAACCCACACAGGTGAGAAGAAATTTGCCTGTCCCATGTGTGATCGACGGTTCATGAGGAGTGACCACTTGACCAAACATGCCCGGCGCCATCTGTCAGCCAAGAAGCTACCAAACTGGCAAATGGAAGTGAGCAAACTAAATGACATTGCTCTCCCTCCAACCTCTGCTCCCACGCAGTGATAGGTCAGAAGGTGAAGAAACAGAACTCACTTTGGTCACAGCCCAAAGTTGGTGGAACTATTTTGAAAAAGCTTCCACTGAAAGTCTGTGGCCCCCACTGTGGGCTGAAAGCAAAAGCCCCTACAGCCTGGGGCAAAGGCCCTGCCGGAGTTAAGGTGACAAGAAGCACTGAGGCCACAGGCAGGTCACAGAATGGCAGGTTTCATTTCTTATCACATAAGAGAGATGAGAAAGGTTTTATTCTTTTGAATACTCTTGGAAGGTTTCGGATGAGGTCAACACAGGTAGCACAGATTTTTAATTTGTGTGCATAATTATTTGTTACTTTTGCTGTTCATACTTGAGACCAACTTTTCAATGTGAGTCTCTCCTAAAGCACTGGTTTCAAGAGCGCAGAGACTGGAAATAAACATTGCGGTACAGAGATGGAAATGTAAAATTGGTGTGTATTATTGCAAATATTGTTACCTTTCCCTCAAGTTATCTTGTTTACTATTCTTAGTCTTTCCAGTCAACTTTGTGAACATAGTGGTTAAATATATCTAGAAAACTAGCATTTTTACACTATTACTGATAATTGGAATTGAGTGGCTGTATATTGCTAGAGAGGGTCCAAAAAAACTGGACTCTTAATTAATTTAATTGCTTTGAGATGTGGCTACATATTTTTTCCTGGTTTTGCATTTTTTGTTTTTTTACTTTGAAAGTTTAACAGAATACTCTATTTAGGTGTTTTATTATGCTTTGAACTTCAGTTTGCCTGCAGTTTCCTGTATAGATTTAAAAATTGTGTACCAATGTGTTTTCCATAAGACTCTAAGATACATTGCACTTTTGTTAAGGAAAAAAAATGCCCTGAAGATAAAAAAAAACATAGATTAGATAACTCCTTAAAAAAGATGGCTCCTGTCATCAGTAAAGTATCCTTATGTCATGAGGATATACTGGTGTGCTGAAGTAGAAAGTTTGACCAGCACTCAAAAATGGATGAAAAGCTGTCTTGTGTCTTGTTAATTTATAGGAGTCTTTTGAGGGATGTGGAACTTATTAAAAAAATGGTGAACATTCACTTTTTCTGTTCTGTTTAGTGTATGAGATACTCAATGGTAAAACAGGAGGAGATTGTTTAAATACGTAGGGAAAAATGTCACTACACCTCATGTAATGTTTCTGTATATCAGGTTTCGATTTTCTGACAGATTTTGGACCCTTGGAAAACATCAGGCATTTCCACTTTAAAAAACAAATCTTTGTGACTCTTACAATTTGCACAATATTTCTTTTGTTGTACTTTATATCTTGTTTACAATAAAGAATTTCCTTTGCTATATATGAATTGGTTGATTGCATTTGTGGAATTCTCAGTCTCACCTTGACATTGACCACTGCAGATACCATCCAGTTTCTTAGTGTTTGCATTTCTTTAGGGGCCTCATTCACATTTGAGTATATCTTTAACATCTATCCATATATTAAGATAATGTGCGAGCTGGCTAGTACATTTTCATTTTCAGACATAATTTTACTTTTTGATTATTTAAAGTTGATTCATAGTTCAGCCAAAACTTTTAAAATAATACCTTTTAAGCTAAAGAGACCACCACAGTGAGTAATTACAACCGGCTGTGACCAATCAAATGAAACCTGACCTGTTACATAAAGAGAGTAAATTGCTCACCCTTAGAGGTGAAATTAACCAGACCATAAAGTGATGCCTTAAATGTGGTAAACCTGGGTTTACTAGCCACTCTAAAAAGAACTAGCAGTCTTAAGTACTACTTGCTTTCTGTAACAATTTTGTAGATGACTATTCTGATTTGTTTTGAAATCCCCTTGTCATGTGAGAGTATCTTGCACGGTGCCCAGACTTAACCCCTGCCCTAGAGTCTGGCTTACTGTTAACTACTGGGAAGAAGCCGTTTACTCACTTGGCACCACTTGTAGGCCCAGCTTCTTGAGTCATCTGTGCACCTGTTGCTCCTTTTCTTGGAAGCCTAAACACAGCACAGCTGCTGGAGGAGAAGGACCTTGCCATTCTGCTTGGGTTTCAGAAACCTGAGCCGCCCTAGCCACCCCATGTGCCTCCTGATGACAGGTCTCCAGGAGGTGGGAACTGAGGAAGGTGGCTGAGGTGTTTTCTGCCTGGCCCCACGCCCGGTCACCTACAAGGACAGGGCCAGTGGATCAGTGTCATCCCCTCATGTGCTCTTCCAGTCCTAGTCGGCACCTGAGTCTTTGTTCTAGGAAGCTTGGAAACTCAGAGTAAGGGGAAAATTGCCTCAACACAAACTTGTAGCATGCTTCAACTGAGAATTTTTTGCCTAGTTTTATAGTGAATATTGAACTATGAAAGGATGTTGCAAGGAGGGGCCAGTCCTTGGAGAGGGACGGCACAAGTGAGGAAGATTCTCAGTCACAAAAAGATAAATACTGCATAATGCCACTGTTATGGAAGAGCACTAACATAGGGGTTGGGGAGAGACTAAGAAAGATGGGATAAATAATGTATACTGCATTGAAACATGAGGGTGAGAACTGTTTAAAAGGAATATATGAGTCCAGAGCAAAGGTAGCATAGTGGCGTGGACTTGGGGGGAGGGATTGAATAACTGTAAAAGAATTTTTCCTTTTAGTTTTCAAAAAGAAAAGCTAATTGGGGCTGGGGGGTGGGCAGGGAAAGAAGTGTAATAATCAATGAATAGAAATTCAAAGTTTCTGTAAACTTTCATTAAAATTAAAAAAAAAGGAAGACCCTCAGTGAGATAGATTAATTCAGTGACTGGGGTAATGGAGGGGTAGGTGTGTTAGAGACAATAAGATTGGCACAGGATAGAGCAGGGTTCAGAGCTGTTGTACGTAGGGTCACTATGAGTCACAAGCAACTCGACACATTTAACTATATGAAATTGTTGATATTCAACTGTCTTTGCTATTTTATACTTAGAGAAAGATGGAATGGGGCAGGGGTTGTGTACTCATATACCCTTCACCCAACTTGTCCTTGGTACAAAATGTGGTCCTAAAACATGAGAAGTTAACTGGGCACAATGTTATTAAAGTCTCTGGGTGGCACAAATGCTTCACCACTTGCCAAAAGATTGACAGGCTTGGTGATGTGCCTCTAAAAGGTCATGGCCTTGAAAACTCAATGGAGCAATTCCACTGTACACATGGCGTTGCCAGGAGTCAGTAACAAGAGCAACGATACTGTTACGTAAAGCACTAACTTGGATTCTGCTCAGTTTTCTATTTATTTATCTTCCTGATTCCAGGATCCAAACCACATTGGGTCTTGGTCACTTGAGCCATGTTTCCAAAGTGTCCCCCAGTCTCTGATAGTCCCTCAATCTTCCTTTATTTTACTTTTGATGAACACAGGCCAGTTACTCTATGGAATGTCTATCACTGGATTGGCCAACTGTCTTATTTAGAATTCTGAGCATCATAAAAATCAGTACCAGATTAGCCACAAAAAAGGCAGAGGCCAACAATGTCCCCAAAGTTCATTCTGTTAAACCACTCCAGTTTTACATACACTATTCCTCCTGACCCCCAGCTTCCCATGCATATTTTTTGAGTCCCACAATCCCTGGAAGGTCCTTAAGAATCCCACACAGCTGTTAGCAGGCTGTTCCAAGCAAGAGAGAGGGAACGTCTCAGAGAGTCCCTAATGCCATCTTTTACTGGAGCACCAGGGCATAGAGCACACCCCCAAGGAAACTAAGGGTGTATTTTGGGCCATACCTTACTCTAGCCTATTGTTGTTAGGTACCATCAAGTCGAGTACGACTCATAGCGATCCTGTGAACAACAGATTTGAACCCTGTCCTATCCTGTGCCATCTTCACATTATGGCAGTCACTGTGCCAATCCACCTGGTTAAGGGTCTTCCTCTCCTTCACCTTCAAGCATCATGTCCCTCTCCAAGGAATAGACCCTCCTAGCAACATGCCCAAAGTATGTCAGGCAAAGTCTCATCATTCCTGCCTCCAAAGAGAACTCTGGCTGCACCCTCTCCAAGACATATTTGTTTCTTTGGCCATCCATGGGATATTCAGTGCTCTTCAACACCACAGCTCAAAGGCATCAAATTATTTGGTCATTTGTATTCATTGTCCATTTATCAGATGCATAGTTGTTGTTAAGTGCCTTCGCAGGCGACTCATAGTGACCCTATGAAGGAGAGTCCTTGACGGTTGGGTGCCTTTCATCCTCTCTCCAGGTTCATAGGGTTTCCGAGGCAAGCTATTATGGAAGTGGATGCCACTCCTCCTTCCAAGCTTGTTTTAATCGGGGAGCTCCACCCCACTCTCTGTCTGCATTGGGTAACCAGCCATTAACGCATTTGACACATCAGTGTCACAGTGTTCAGCCTCACAGCAACCACAAGTGACATCAGATGCATAGTAAGTGATTGGAAATACCATAGCCTGAATCAGACACACCTTAGTCCAAGTCTTTAATCAGAGCAGTAATTTCCTTCTGTCCACCAGGTATCCCGTATCACTTCCAATTAACCACCTCCCTGGGCTCAGGCAATTCTAATGATTCCATTTAGCATATCAAATCAAACACCAGCCTCTGGGTAGACTTACACACCCCCTAGTTTTACCATATCTGGTAGAGAATGTTCCACAATTAGGCATAATATCCATATTTTTATCAACTAGCTGAGCTTTAGTAAGGTGGAGTCTCAGGATATCAAGGATAGAAAAGCCAGTTGGAAAAGGAAACCCTCAACACCTGAAATTTCCCCAGGATTAGTTGAGGCTGTGCGTTACTGGGGAATGAGACCATGGAGGTGCTATGTTCTTCCCGCTTCATGTCAACCTATACATTTTGCTGATTTCTGTTACTGGTGATGTTACTCATAATCACGCAGCTAAGATGTCTGCAAGTGTGCTCCACTGAAAATGTACTAATATTCCCTTTATAATAAACTAATATTTGGAAGGACATACTTTAATACTATGCACATCCCTTGTTTTTGTTTACACGTT